TAGTAAGGTATTATAACATGGTTTTTATTAACTTTTTTAATCCAAGTTTGAACTTACGTTATGAATAATTTTTTTTTAAACCACTCAAGAATAGTCCTCTTTCTTCAGTGTCTCTTTGATCAATAACCATTATATTTTCCAAACGCAGAAAGCAATAGTAAAAACATTTAAAAAAAGAGCGATCGTTTCTTTTCATCTGGCTAAGAATAGTACAAACTCTTAGTATTTTTTTGTTATTTGTAGCCAGTTGTATTCAAGTAAAAAATCAAAAATTGAAAATTGAAAAGAGATATGTTCGGAGTATAATGTTTACATATATAGGATTTCCGCTTCCGCTTTATTTTCGCCATTTTCAACCTACCCATTTGTAAAATTAAATCGGAGCGAATGCAAAGAACAAACAAGCTGATTCAGAGAATTTGTGTCCACTGCTTAGGGAAAAAGTAAACCATGCACAGTTCGGGGGGGGGGGGGGGTCCCCCTGACTGAATTTGTAGAATTATTAAATGTATACATGTATAATGAAGGAAATAAGATATGTTAATATGGATGTAGTGATTTGATTACTCATTCTTCATTATGTGTATAGAAAATGCTATTTATATGGAATATTTATCACACTGTAATGATGATCTTATGAGTTTGTACATGTACAAGCCAGACCTCATAAATGTTCCATTTCACAGGCCAAATACTATCATTTAGTGAAAAAAAGATAACCAACCAGAAATCAAATTATCAAAATCATGATGCGTAAATAACAAATTGAATTATTTTATCATTTTTTTGTAAAATCTAATTTTTATATTTTACAAATAATTGATAAAATAATTCAATTTGTTATTTACGCATCATGATGATAATATAATTTGATTTTTGGCTTGTTAAATTTTTCATGTCACAATTAAACTTTTGATACATAGTACCCACAAATATGAACTCTGACCTTTATATCCATGTGAACTTGAAATTCGAAACACCACATAATATGACACATTAATTTTATCTTTTGATATTTTCATTAGAAAAGAAATTGATGGTAACAGTGAAATGTTATCGTAAAGGTGAAAACCTCAACATTTATAATAAATTACATGTTCAGATTCTAATTAAAAATCATTCAGTCAATTTTAACCAAACTAAATACAAAGTATTCCAGGGCGAAAATGAAATTTATATTGCTTACGCAAAGGACAAAATCATCTTGTATGTACAAATAGAGATAACAAAGAAAAGACAAAAATAAGATGGAATCCTTTAAAAATCTTTTCAAGATCTACTGAACCAGAAAGACTTAAACTTATGTTGAAGAAACCTTGGGTAGTGAAGATTCTAGATTGTTCCAATCATGACCCTGCGAATAGACGGGGCAAAAGTGGGGGATTCAAATTTAATATTTTAAATCTACTCTCAAACATCTGAGTCTGAAAACTAAAAGTCAATGGTACTTTCCTAAGGATAGTGTTGAGACTTATTTGGTCAAATAATGACCCCCGGTGTAAGTACACGCCTACGATATGTATTAGGGAGAAATCTGGGGAAGAACAGAATGCAAAAGTTACTGAGGTGAACGATGTGGCATATGGACCTCTTGTTGCAATTTCTTATCTACCCAGCAATATGTATCCACGAAGCATTTAATAATTATAAATGAATTTACACGTTTATAACAAATACTAAATAAGAATGATATTGTTTCCTTTTAGCGTATCTCATTTTATTCTTTAGTCTCCTTAACGAGGCCCGATCTAGTTGAAAATTACGAAAACGGAATGATAGAAAAATTTAATTCTTGGAAATATACTTGTATGTTTTATGCTTAGAAAAATTAGAATGAAATTTTGTTACCTTGCCTTTGTTGTAGTGAAATGGGGACACTGTCAAGATATGGGCCATTTTTCGTGTTTTTATACACAATTACATACCAAAACTCTTCAATTAACAAAGAAATTTACAAATTAAAAAAAATACATGATGAAATTCTTTGTTTTTCACATATATCATGCAATTTTCATTCTTCTTTTAAAAAATGAAAAGAAAATTGGAGGTAGCCTTTATTGCAGTGAAAAGGGGGCATGTCAAAACACAAAATTTGGATTTATTCTATCCAACTAAGTATTTTATAGGTCGCAATGGGTTTACATAACACCATGTTCGAAGAGAAAGACTAAAATCGTTTACTTTTAGTTGCAGTGTTTGTTTTTTTAAACTCACAAATTGAAATAAAACAGGATAAAATTATAGAATCTGTACCAAAAAATTGATCCCTCAAATTAATTAGGTTCCAAAGTTGTTTATTAATTTAAATATTAAAAAAAAATAATAGAAATGCCAGTTTTCAATGCATAGTCTATAGCGCTACCAGGTAAGCAAGATCAGCGAAACATTTTAGCGCAATTTGACGTCATTTTAATTGGGACGTTATTGTGTTCAATTGTGACGGCAGCCAAGGGTATTGTGACGTGCCTGAGTAGACGCTGCGTTAAAACGTATGCGCAGATAAAGTAGATCGGGCCTCGTTAATATACTTGAAAGCCAAGGGAATACAACGCATCTTACTGTTAAGTTCTGTTCATCATAAGTTTGTTTTAATTAAGGATTTCCATCCCTTTATGGGGTCAAATTCCATACCCTTTAATTTCCCTCAAGTACATAATACTTTGATTTTATATTAAAGGATTTTATAGTGGAAAAAGGATTGCCCGCGAGAAATTTTCAAAAATTTCATTAATTAAGCAGTAATTAATTTACAAATATTGCATTGAAGTCTATGTGGAAAAGCGTTTTTTTTTTTAAGTAAAAATTCAAATAATTTGAATTATATCAATAAATCCTGCGGTGGAAAGATGCATTGAAAAATTAAAAATAGAATGACAATTGAAAAATAAGAATTTATCGGCAAAATTATTTTTAAGCGATTTTTTTATTTATTAAGAAAGGGTAGATAACTCTTACCAAAATTAAAGGTCTTGAACTAGGACACATCCCACTATAAATACGTTTAGCAATTAATGGGAAGTATGTCTAAATAAACTGAGTATTCAATGCCCGCATATCTGTTATGTTTTCAATATCATTGAATTTGTTCCCATTAGGGATTGTATACCTTAAGTATTTATACATATATATATATTTTTGTTTAATTTTGAAATATCTTAATCTCTTAATATATACAAAACCCTTGAAAAAAATAGTTTTAGAAAATTTGAACAACTTTACACAAACTGCCTGATGCATTAGATATCTCATATTACAAAGTAAATTTAAAATCCGTCTTATACACTCTGTATATGCGATCTTCTTTACCTTTTTTATTTCGTAATAATTTTACTTCCTTGATCAGGACAATATTGATCCGATTATGCTCATTCGATTTTGTTTGATAGCCCTCACACAAAATTGCCTAGAATACGGTAAGGATTATTTTGTTTTAATCAACGTTTCAACCGTATGTTTATAACTGCTCATTTATTTTAATTAATTTTTATCCTGTCTGTTTAGTTTTCATTTAAAGTATAAACAGAGGAAAGTCCGAACAGGATAAAAAGTTACATCGATTTTTTTTTCCATTGTTTTCAATATTTCTATTAAACTCGAAATGACTTTGAAATAAAAGCTTTTGTTGTATTTTCAACACAGTGTCCTTATTGATCTAAAATAAGCACACAACCAAAATTAAAAAATTCATTTTTTTTCAAAATGTCGCAATTCCAATTTGAGTTCCGATTAATATTTTTTTATCTGATCTCTATTTAATGCAAATCCTTTATCTTTGTAGTGATACGAGTTTGAAAGAAGTAGTAACCTATCCAATTTAATCGTCTCGAAAATACATTTATATTGATTTTAATAGTGTTAAATACGTTTGAAACAGTTAACCTAATAAAATTGTTCATTCCAAAGTTTTAAGTAATGAAACTACATGTTTTCGACGCAGGGGGAATAAGGAAGCATACAAAATATTCTACCTTGGCTAAATCAGTACTGCATTATGACGTCATAGTAGGCAAGATGACGTCAATTTTAGAACACAAGTTTTCGTAATATTGGTATTTAGATATGTAATTTAACTCTAGAAAATGAATAGAAACGTGTAAAGATTAACAAATATAAATGTTTTTATTTTGTTATGCTGTAACAGTCATTATGATTGAAATCTACCACCGATGACGTCATATGTGTACATCAAGTAACTTGGAAATTGATCATGTCGTGTAAAGAGAATTTGGCTAAGACGGCGTGTTCAAAGATACGTAAAATGGAGTTTAAAAGGAAATATCGGAAATATTGTGTTGAATTCATATGGAGTTCAATAAATTAAAAAGGTATGCTAATTTATTTTCATCGATTATATTCTCTTTCGAAGACAGTCAGCTATATTACGTAACCCGGTCGGTCTATCGTCCGTCATTTTTGACCAAAAAAATGCAACAGAACAACAATAAGCTGGATATTTAAAAACATACGATTTGTACAGATTGAAAGTTTGCGTTTTGACAAACTTGGAAAGTGCTGCTAGAATCCCGAGTTAAGCATGATTGTACGAAAATCTCGATTCATTTGTATAAAATTCAAAACAAAGGGTAAGGTTTCGTGCAAATGTGTGGAATAAATATTTTACGGACAAGATATTGGGATTCTAGCAGCACTTTTTAGACAAAATAGATGTTTTTCAGCTATATTACATACTCAAAGAAATTATCAAACTCCGGGGTATTGTTGTTCTGTAAGCCTTTTTATTAAGGAAAATTTTGCTTTTAATAGAAGTCACGTGATGCCGTGGCGGTGATGCACGTCTTTGCGTTAGACACGCTTTTATCTGTATGCAATAGTAAATAACAGTTTACGTTTATCAGTGGTTTTGGTAATTTATTAAACTAAATTTTCTTCAAAAAGTCTAAATTTCCCGAGGAATTACTTATATGCTTCCTTAATATACCCGCAGAATTATGAATATTTTTTTTCAATGTCATACCTTCGTATAAAGGCATTGGAAGTCAATGGATAAGTGCGATACACTGATTTTTGTTTTTGCTGAAAACCTAGCTTTGCTTAAGCCAACATGGCAATCAAATCCATATATTCAAGGGGACAGTAGATTTGATTCTAGTAATGCTGTTGATGGACTCAAATCTGACTTAAGTTCTCTCGGTGGCCAATGTGTCATATCTGGTAACGGACAAGCAAGCGCCACCTGGTGGGTAAATCTGACTTCAGTTTTCAGTATTCATGATATAAGGATCTATTACTGGTGTAAGAATTATTCTATTAATAGTCGTGTATAGTTTTAAATAAAAAATGATTTAATTTGCATTTTAATTCCGTGTAAAGGGGTCATTTATAGAAAGAAAACAATTACCTAGATTCGTAAGATCTTTGAAATAAAAAGGTTGAAATAAGAACATCAGCATGAGCTTCAATTTCATAAATTGAAAAAAAGAAGAATCGGTTCAAATCTGATTAATTAATATGTGTATGTAATGAAATAAAGAAAAGAATCAATTCAGGTGTACATGTATGTCCACTGTAAATAATACACTAACCAAAACTAAGTCGATGCACATAAACTTACCTTTATACACGTACTGTTACAAAGACACCTATCTTATATTTCATATGAACTAATTTCGACTTGTATTATCTGACTTAAGGTACCTTTATTACACATAAATGTACCTCAAGCTTTATGTTTACACTCAAACATATTCACATATAATAAATACTCAATTATATGAATAATCTTTTCTAATTATTTGTACTATTTTTAAGCTGGAACAGTATGTAAATAATATGTACATGTATATATAGTTGTCATCTTTTTTCGAAATATATTGATAAATAATACTTGTTTGTGAATATTCATTTTTCATTATAATCTTATTAATTATCATGTACATGTATTATAACTTACTATTGTATCTTGACCTATTATACAAGGAGAGGGTGTAAATAGGCCTTGCCTGTTGCCAATCCTTAATGTATTATTCAAAAAAATATGTTTAAAATATAAACATATTCAGAGATGTACATCATTTCAAATTTGACTGTGGCATATAGCCGACACAAAATATTACGACATGCAGTCATTTTTCAATGGTTCTAGATAATATTTCAGAATTTGATATTCTGAAACTTGCAATGACTTCCTTTTAATTAGTTTTCAAGTTTTTTTTAAATCACAAGAAATAAATTTTTTTGAACATTTATGATATGTTAGTGTGATTCATAAAATTTTACGCCCATTTATCAATTAAGAATATTTACATTAATGAGACACTTTATGAAGTCAGTGATTTCATTGTATATTACCATTTAATATTAGTAATAATTAAATGGGATTTTACATTTTAGATGCATCCAACGGCTATACCTCTAGATTTATGGGATTTTATGTTTATGTATCAAAAACAACCAACAAACGTGATGGTCATTTGTGTTTCCATGACACAAACTACAACATATCTACGATTCCAGCTGTCGTCATTATTTCATGCCCCGTGCATGGGCAATTTGTCATTTATTATGACGAGAGACCACAGGATTCAAAATACGCCAGTCAATTTTCACAATATGCATCTAACGAACTATGTGAAGTGGAGATATTTGGTATGTCTCCTGTTTTTTTTCGATCTTTCTATCATCATGCATATTTATAGAAATAGTTGTAACAATTATATCATAATGTCGTTTCGAACGCATAACATAAACCTCCGCAAGAATAACGACGTTTATCATTTTTTTGAACAAGAAAAATTACTTTGAATGATTACCCATCGAAAGTGTGAATTTACAAGGTAGGACTTTTGTCAACTTGAAACTGAAAAAAAAACATATTTCTTTTAGTTGAGTTTGTTGAAAGTCATGTTAACATCAACTTTAAACAGGGTACTGAATGAACTAGTTTGGCGTAAATGAATTTTAAACGATTAAGATAAGCAAAAGCAATATTGTCACTCATATATACATACATGTATACACATTATCCTATTTTTACACCAACACAAAAGTAATTTACATGATTCAGTACAAACAAGTATCATTTGTTAATTTTATGTAATTACTAATATTTACATTTGCAAAGGTTTTCCCTTATATAACACTATTGGAACAAGGTGTTTTTACATCTCGGTAAGACACGTTCGTCATGTGACCATAAATTGATTGTTTAGTCACAAGCAATCTACATAATTTCATAGTGACGTCATAAGTGATCGACGTGTTCAACGCATTCAAATAATACCGTTGAGTTTTGAAAAAAAAAATGTAAATCTCTTATTGGTTCAAAACTTCAGTACCTTACTATTTTTATAAATCAGTCACAAATGTAAATACAGTCAAACTTGTCTTAGCGGCCACCCCAAATCAACGGCCACTCGCGGTCAGCGGCCACTTTCAGTTCCCCCGACGATTATTTCTATATATTTTAACTGGAATAAACGGCCACCTGTGTAACGCGGCCAGCGGCCACTCAAATCCTCCCCCAACAGCCTTATTGACACTGTAATAGGCGGCCATTTCGTCACTTGTTGCGGTTCTGTCACGTCTTTTAAACGCGTTGGCTTGGGTAATTATATCCTCGATAATTAATGTAACCTATTGATGCAAACCAACAAATTGCTTTTGGATACGCTGAACTCTGTTTGTGTTTATGAAAAAAAAATATTTGTCCTGTTGGGTCAGTTTGTAATTATTTTTCAAGATCGCCGATTGAAAAATTAAAAGAATTTAATTATTACAATTGATACTTTCCTCTAGCTAAAGAAATTCACACCTTTTAGATTTTGATTCCATGTAGAAGCCCTAATTGCTACTCATGTAAAACAAAGTGCTTCGTATGGCATGATCATCTCGTGAATTTCACTATCAAGAGACGATCGATAGGGATTAGTTACGCTCTACTGAATATGACACCTGTGTTATGGAATGATTTTAAACTGCGTAAATACATCTCTCTGGTCAACAGGTTTATCTTATTTGTGTGTCTGTGTATGTTAAATAGAAATTCTGACAGCTTTAAAAACAATAAAATTAATCAAACTTCAAACTTTCAGCAAGTAAGTTAATTACCGATTGATTAAGTTAAGGGGGGGGGGGGGCTACACTGCTGACTTTTTTAACATATGTAAGTGAAATTTTTATTGACATATTTTTACTTAAATTTCTATGGTTTATTTTATTTACCATTTAACTGCATTTTTGTGTATTTTCATTCTTTATAAAAAAAAAGGATAATAGTCAGGCACTGTTTGTATTTCTTCAAATGAAAATTAAAAGAATTTATTTAATACTACAATATAATAATAGCACACTTATGAATGCAAGAAACTACTATGTAGGAACAGAAACATGCACAGAACCTTATTCATTTCAATTCTTTAATATTCCTTTTAGATGAGCTTGAATTATTATATATACACATAAAAAGCTTTTGTGAAATTGAAATGTTTAATTATGATTATTAATTAATTTAACTGTTGTGCTTAATGTTGTTTATTTATTGACGGAATGTCCTTTTCGAGGGCAAACTGGAATAAGAGGCCACCTGTCTTAAGTGGCCAGTTTCCAGACTTCCCAAAGGTGGCCTCTTAAAACAAGTTTGACTATATAAGTAACAAGGTATCATTTTTTGAGTTTTATTGGGATGTAAAACGAGTTGGCACATAATCATATCTTCCATAGGGCTATCTAGAATTTGATTACGTTACCAACCCGTTTTACATCCCAATAAAACTCAAAAATTGATATCTTATTTCTTAAATTAAAAACAAGATCAAACAATTATTGAAAGGATGCAGTGAAAAGGGTTATCATGGACCAAACTGTTCCAGCGAATGCTCTAGCACCTGTCTCTTTCGTTCTTGTCACATCACGACTGGAGTCTGTAATGGCTGTGAACCTGGTTACAAAGGAGAAGAATGTGAATACGGTAATATTATAATAAATTATTGTAAGTGATTAACATTTTTGAACCATTCGAAAATGAATATGAAATTTCAAAAGGATTGACTTTCTTAGAAATAATCCTATTGCATTATTCGAAAGACGGGTTGATTATTCGTATTTTTTTCTTTATATTCATTTTTAAGCTCCATATGCATATAACGTATTCGTGGTCCAAAAACTCTATTACTTTACTATAAAAACGTAAATTGTAAAACTTACTTTGTTACACAGGCTTTTCATAGGCATGTTGCACATTGATAGTGTGTATATGTATATATTAAATTATAAATGTATCCTTATATATTAATTGATATGCATTTTCAAAAATTAATTTATTCCCTTTAAAATGTGGTGCAAGGTATTACGGTGTAAACTGCACGAGTCACAGTGGGGATTGTCTGAATTTTGAGCAATGTCACCATGTTAACGGGTCTTGTTTAAAAGGCTGCGATCTTGGATTCTACGGAGAAAAATGTCTTCAGCATAACTACTTCTTTTTTGCTGTTTTTACATTTCATATTTATATTCATTTTCGTGTGCTTGAAATTTCTGCATTATTAACCGAAAATAATAATTATTATAAAAATAGTAATCATGAATTCGTTATTAACAAAATCAGTATGGATGATTTCTGGCAAAAAAATACTTTTCGCAAATGTTATTGATCAAACTTATCTTTATCATCATGCATTTAACATGATTACTGTAAATCCCTTTACAGAACTTCATTTTCGCGTAATTACGCGTGACGGTATACTCGAGAAAACTTCATTCTCGCGTTTTATAGAATTTCTTAAAATTATATAGAGCAATAATCACAATCTGTGAAAATTTTGTCTCGCTTTTAAAGAGTCAACGACTATCTCGCGAAGATAACGTGTCTGGAAAATTAAGTGATCTACAGTAATCATAAATATAACCTAGTACAAGACCTTTAATGAACTAAACAATTTGTCTTGTAAAGCATGTCCAATTGGCCTTTACGGCAGGAACTGTGAAAGGAGCTGCAGCGTTACCTGTCTAAATTCAGACAGGTGTGACCAGAAATCGGGTGCATGCCAAGGTGTTTGTAAAAGTGGTTGGAAAGGACTCAAATGTGAAAAAGGTATTGATTATTCCAGCAAATATCATCTGTATTCAGTTTCCTTGGCAATCCATCCTAATCGAGGTTTAAGTATTTCATCAAAAGCTTATGTTTCCTTTTTTGTGGTTTGTAGTTCATCATTATGTTTTAGGTCACTTGAGATAACTCAGGTGACCTATTGCTGTCTGTTATCGTCCGTCTTCGTGTGCTGTGCGTCGTGCGTCGTGCGATGTATGTTAACATTCGAACATTTTTAGCTTCTTCTCTGCAACCACTCAACCAATTTCCACCAAATTTGGCATAAAGCATCTATGGGTAAAGGGAAACAAAAATTATGAATTTCATGGTCCCTGCCTTGCCATGGACCTTAGGGGTGGGGCAAAAAACACTAAAATTAATGCAATCTTTGAAAATCGTCTTTACTTCTGGACATCAAGCAGTCAAACTGCTAGCATGACTATAATGACCATTGAGTCATCAACCAAAATTGTGAAATTCAGGGTCACGTGATACGGGATCTAGTACAAGGGCGGGGCTTTTGATAATATAGTAAAAATGCATTCATTCTTTGAAAATCTTCTCCTATGCTCCTGGGTATTAAGCAAACTAACTAAGTATATAGATATGATGAGCAAGAATGTCTCTACCAAAATTGTGAATTGTATGGCCTTAAGGTCAGGGGTTCTGGTGTTAGGCCTGGGTTTTATTGATTATATAGTGAAAATACATTAATTCTTTGAAAATCTTCGTCTCTGCTTCTGGGTATTAAACAAACTAACTATAGTAAGTACATAGTTATGATGAGCAAGAATGCTTCTTCCAAAATTGTAATTTTTATGGCCCAAGGGTCATGGGTTCTTGTGTTAGGGTGGGGCTCTATTGATTACAATGTGAAAATACATTCAATCTTTGAAAAATTTCTTCTCTGCTCCTGGGTATTAAGCAGATGAACATATTTATATTGCTATATAGCAATGTTGAACAAGGGTCATTCTTCCTGAATTGTGAATTTCAAGCCCCCCCCCCCCCCCGCCCGTGTCAGGGGTACCATAAAGAGAGTGTGTGGGGTCGGTTTACTGAACATAAATTGATTGATATCTGCTCATTGGTTTTAATCAAACATTTTTGATAAGCAAGAGTGCCTTTTTCAAAAATTGTGAAATGTATTGACCTAGGATCAGGGGTTCATGTGTTGAAGTGGCACTACTGATTATTGCTGAGTATTACTGATTAGTTGAAATGTATTTTTGTACCCCTACACTGTCTATGGGTATTAAATAACCAAAGTAAGCATGCTAAGTATATAGTTATAAGCAATGGTGCCTCTTTCAAAATTGTGAATGTCATGACGTCTAGTTTAAAACATGAACAAAATTCAATCGTTGGAAAAATGTTGCACGATGCTCAGGTGACCTATAAGGCCCATGGGCCTATTGTTATTCTATATCAAACATTTTGAACTTTCTAAATGCTTATTGAGAGAGAGAGAGAGAGAGAGAACAAAATAATTAATTTAGATCATGACTTTGTAGAGTGTGACTCAAATATGTTCGGGGAGGATTGTAGTAAACATTGTGGAAATTGTCGGGATGGAGCGCAATGCCATCATATCAACGGAACTTGTTTTTCAGGTTGCGACTCTGAGTATATTGGAGATGCATGCAATCAAGGTATGTATATTATTTAAAATAAATACGTAAATGATTATATCAATTTAAAAAAAAATACTTGATGTTAAGATGTACTTTCATTTTGTATGGGAGATCTTGTTTTGCTGTATCGTGCTAACTGAAATTACATTATGTATGTGTTATACATCAAAAACCTGACAAACATAATTTCAGCAATGTTATACTTTAAAAATAAAATTAAAAAAAAACCCTCTGCAAAAGTTCCTACAGACACTTCTCATAAATGATGATTTGATGTCCCCGACAATTTGATTTCACTCAATAGTTTTAAATAGTTAACATTTATTAAAGTTATACATTCATACTTAAATGTTAAAATATAAAAAGAAATATCAACTATTTAAATACCGAAAAAAATCCCATGTGATTATCATTTCATGTCAAATGCCTGGACAGAAAGATGTACTATTGTACTAGTAGAATTTCTATTATTTGAGAACATCGACCCTTTTAAACAGATTGTATATACAGTAAGTGTAATGTTATGTTGATAAGAAGTTTTTGGTATGACTTAATCTTTCATGGTACGAACTAATTGAGTTCATGCACTTCCGCCAAAGAGGGCACATGTTGTTTATGCAGTTTTTTTTCATAACGTTTTTGATTATTTGGAGCCCATCAAAGTGTATGTTTATTCTTTTATCATTATAAAGGATTAAATTATTACATGTATTTGATAATGTCAGTGATAAATATTGGTCTAGGTCTGTTGTTAATGTCAAATTAGTATTTCACACATGCGAACTTTTTAGAGCCATATTTCATCATTCATAATGTAGAGATAATTATTGTCCATCAATTTAGGGCTGTCAGCTTATGATTTTTTCTGTTTTTGTAGCTTTCACTATTTGTATGCATAGATGCCTATAGATACTTTGCATGACGCACTCGAATAAAGCATTGTCAACACAAATGTACTGACTCGGGCTTTACAGTAAGCATCTCATTTTGTCGTCCATGAATAAAATGGTCATCCTGAAATGAAAACAGCAGTACATTTCAGTTTTCCATTTAATGGTATTTTTACAAACTAGCTGTTATTAACAGTATGTACAGTATGTACAGTTAAGGTGATAAATGGAAATGTCATTGCGTTTTTCAATTAAAAGATACATCTTTTACATAGATGGGCGGCGATTCGTTCTTGGACTTAACTAAATCATATAATGTAGTTCAAATCTAAATATTGAGGACTTGTATATCTTTATATATACATTTGTGGCATCTCTCTATTATATAAACATACAGAGAGAAAATATCTTCAATTATGTATGAAGTTTGTCAGAGGTCAGTAATCACACGGCGCAACAATATCTACCGGTACATAAATTATAAAATGACCTGCTCTACTTGCTTTTCAGGTATAAAAATGAACAAAATAAGCAAGTAAAATGATAATTATTTAATTTAAAATGTAAACAAGTTTTTCATACAGTTTTTGGGCTATCGATTCAACCTGTGTACATACATGTATGCCTAGAGAAAACTAGGAGCCTAGCGTTTGTTTACATTTTTCTTCACTTTTGTCAGCTGCACAGTCTTTAACGTTCATCCTTATTTTTGGGGGTAGACCTTTAGTTAAATTTTAATGATAACCTTTAATTTTATCTTTAAATTTTACTCACGATAAATGTGTAAATCTGTTGGAAAATACCATCGCAATCATGCCATGAACAGCTGCCAAACACCTCGGCGTTTTCGTAGCTCAATGTTAAGCTGTCGCCAGTGTCTCCGGGTTTATCAGTGTATTACAACAAGTGTGCCTTTATAGTTACTTAAACCGAAAAATGTTTTGATCAAATTGCAAATTAACTGGCCCGGATAAGTGTTTCAATCCATCCATCCCTTTCCAGCGACCGAAATTCCTCCAACTTTTTATCATCAAACTTCGGACGTGTTTCTTGTGTCTTTTCAGCATCGATCATCATTTTTCACGAATAAAAATATTCCCAGACAACAATCTGTTTACTATTACTGATCACAAGTAGCCTTTCACAAAATATTCCCTTCGAAACAGATTCCTTGGCCTAATCAATTCGAAGCGTAACCGCCATGCAAGCCGATTTACACCTTGCGTCATTTTTCAAAATCTACGACGGACGGTTAGTGCAATAATTTAAATTCGAAAATATTCAATTGTCTGACTCAAATGTATATATAAGTAATAAATAACAAGTTTATAAACTTCAATGGGAATTGAAGTGGGTC